AAAAATTGTGCTCTTTCCCTGGCCACGGGTCAGAGCTCCTTCTGCTTTTGTTGCAGAACTTCCTCTGCTTTAATCGCAGAACTACCCTCCCGCTATTATCGCAGGACTGCCCGCTCTTATCGCGGATCCCTACCTTATTTTCCTGGGGGACTTACCAGCGCTGCCCTGACTGCAGGAAGTTCTGAGTTCGCGTTCGAGATGTTCCCCGTACGGGCCACCAGTTGTCGCGTCCCTCGACCAGCAAGGAAGACACGACCCGAACTCTTCTTCCAGCAGTTTATTCAGGAACCTCTTTCAAACTTCTACTACCGCGTCCTTTCCTCTCCCCTCCCTCTTATAGCCATCAGCGCACCAATCAAAAGCAGCCAAGTGGCAAGCATTGATTGGTACAGCAATGCGGAAGCCGGAAGGGAGCTCAGACATCTCCTTATTAGGAGATGTTTGTTTCTCGCCAGTCCTTCCGGGGGAAAGGAGCCGGTGCCATCTTTAGGGCGCCGTGCAATGGCTCCCCACACATAACTTAACTCAATGTATGGTAACACCAGCCCCAAATGCCTGGCTCCATGGGTTTATATTGTGTATATGTGTCAAAATACTGCAGTATATTGGATAAAAATGTACACATGACAGATTAATCAAAAATTTAAATAATTTACATTAAAAACATACCCTATTATAACAGATTTAATAAAGTTGCTATGGGGATCATCTGGTATACTATTTGTAAAGTACTTAGAACAGGTGCTCGCTTCGGCAGCACATATACTAAAATTGGAACGATACAGAGAAGATTAGCATGGCCCCTGCACAAGGATGACACGCAAATTCGTGAAGCGTGCCATATAAAAAAAAAAAAAGAACAGTGCCTAGCACACAGTAAGGTTGATTCAGAAAGGTAGCTGATGACAGGCTGCCAGAATGTGTTCTCCTAGCGATTAGGACATATCACTTAATACCCCCAAATTCTATTCTCTATCTTTGAAATAGGAATTTTTTAAAGATTTATTTATTTATTTGAAAGACAGAGTTACACACAGAGAGAAGGAGAGGCAGAGAGAGAGGTCTTCCATCTGCTGGTTCACTCCCCAGATGGCCACAAAGGCTAGAGCTGCGTTGATCTGAAGCCAGGAGCCAGGAGCCTCTTCCAGGTCTCCCATGTGGGTGCAGGGGCCCAAGCACTTGGGCCATCTTCTACTGCTTTCCCAGGCCATTAACAAGGAGCTGGATCCAAAGTGGAGCAGTCAGGACTCAAACCAGTGCCCAGGGATGTCTGCACTGCAGGCAGAGGCTTAACCTATTATGCCATAACACTAGCCCCAGATATGAATGTTCAAAGCAGCACACTCCTCATCTGATTTTAAGGGCACTGCTAGCTGCAAGGAGCCTAAGAAATGGAGTTTCAGCACAAAAGGAAGTTTGACCATATAGCCAATTGCCCCCACAACACACACACACACACAACTGCATTTAAGTCCGTTTGAATATTAAGTGTCCTTCTCTGGAAAAATGAAACAGCTCTAATAGTACCATACCATTCTATTTAAGAATCCTCTAAAATAATAACCAAGGAAGTCAATTTCCCTTTAATGACCCCCGACCTTCCTTCTGAATTTCATCCTGTTGAGCTAGCACCTAGTTCAGAGCTACAGAAGAGTCAGTAGCTAAGAGAAGTATCTAGAAATTGATCATGATGATGTCATTGAGCCAGACACTGAGGTTCAGACAAGAAGAAATTAAATTACACATGTAACAAGAGATAATGGGGCAAAAAAATGAAATTTTTTGCCACTGAAACACAAAGTGGTGCATTCCAGAAAGTTAATGACTTGTTCCCAGCTACCATCAGGACATTCTGTGGGACAGGATGGGCTTATAAAACTGCAGAAGTCAATGCTGCCATTCTGTAGTGTCCTAGAGTCTTTAATTCATGCTTGCCTTCCAACTATCAGGAATGAGAGGAAGCAGCCTGTGATCTTGCTTACGGATGACAGTTTTAAGCACACCAGTGAAATGCAGGAAAGAGCTCAGACAAGGCTTAAAACAACTTCTGAACACTGGAGAAAGAAGGGAATACCAGGTTAGAAAAACTGGAAAAAGGGACGACACCATGGCACAGTAGGTTAATCCTCCGCCTGTGGTGCCGGCATCCCATGTGGGCACCGGTTCTAGTCCCAGCTGCTTCTCTTCCAATCTAGCTCTCTGAGGTGGCCTGGGAGGGCAGTGGAAGTTGGCCCAGGTCCTTGGGTCCCTGTACCCACATGGGAGAACAGGAGGAAGCACCTGGCTCCTGGCTTTCGATCCAGCTATTGCGGCCATCTGGGGAGTGAGCCAATGGACAGAAGACCTTTCTCTCTGTCTCCCCCTCTCACTATAACTCTACCTCTCAATTAAATAAATAAAATCTTTTTTTTAAAGCAGATATTTAAAAAAAAAAGAAAAGAAAACTGAAAAAAGCCTCAGGGATCACCCAAGAAGGACTGCTGGGAGAAATGAGGCAGATGATGTACAGCTAGCTCAGTCCTGGCTGCTTTTCCTGGAAGAATTCCTGAAACAACAGAGTGGGGCAGCATGGCCTGAAGGAAAAGAAACTAATTGGTTCCACAAAATTTTAAACAATGAACCTGGGGCCAGCACTGTGGCACACCAGGTAAAGCTGCCGCCTGCAGTGCCGACATACCATAAGAGCGCTGGTTCAAGACCCAGCTGCTCCACTTCCAATCCAGCTCTCTGCTATGGCCTAGGAAAGCAGGAGATGGCCCAAGTGCTTGGGTCTGCACCATCATGGGAGACCCAGAAGAAGCTCCTGACCCCTGGTTTCAGATTGGCCCAGGTCCTGCCACTATAGCCACTTGGGGAGTGAACCAACAGATGGAAGATATCTCTCTCTCTGCCTCTGCTTCTGCATCTCTGTGGCTCTGCCTTTCAAATAATAATAATAATATAATAAATAAATATTTTTAAAAAATTAAGCTGATGCAGCAGTGCAAAATATAAAAACAGTGGTGAAATTTCAGGATGTGAACCAGATCCCAGAAAATATCAAATCAGAGTAACCAAAACTAGAAATTTAATAGATTATCAGCCAAATTTGAAGAGCAGTCAAAAATGCCCTTTGGACAAATAATCTCCTTCTCAAAGGAGAAACAGATACATCCAAATCATTTATGAGGCTTCACAATAATTCAAACCAAGTAACTTTGTCATCATTTATAAAAATAATCTGGATAACTTGATGATAATCGTTATCTATCAGATTAGAAATCAATGCATCAGGAACATTATAAAATGATTTACTATTAGAGCTTTCAAATGTTTTCCTAATTGTTGGATATCACAAATTTGAATTATAATATGAGCATTCTAGCATTTTTTAAAAACTAGAAAATATGGAACATTTGGAGAAAATTAAAGTTCATTTCTATATTTTGAAATGTACTTATCATTTTCTCTCTTTTTAGCTTGGCTAGATAAAGAAGTAATTGTTAAAGATGTCCTATTCCAGATGCTGGAAATGCATACAAACACAGGAACACACTGCTTATTATTTAAATAGGGTTAGGTATATTTTTCTTTAGAGTTTGATTTTTGTTTTAATTCTTCACACCAGCCTATAATAGAATCTGGGTAAGAATGTACACCCCTAAGGCAAGTTTCAGCAGGTTTTCCCCACTTTACATGATAGAGGATCACAGAAATTCAAGATAGAGTGGTAGGGAGGAATGAAGTCTTGTATGCGTTCAAAGGCAAGATAGTTGGAAATGCTACAGATGAGCTTTGTCTGTCACCTAAAGAATAAATGAGGGGCCACGCCATGGCTCACTTGGTTAATCCTCCACCTGCAGCACCGACATCCCATATGGGTGCTGGGTTCTAGTCCCAGTTTCTCTTCTTCCAGTCCAGCTCTCTGCTGTGGCCCAGGAGGGCAGTGGAGGATGCCCCAAGTGCTTGGGCCCCTGCACGCACATGGGAGACCAGGAAGAAGCACCTGGCTCTTGGCTTTGGACTGGCGCAGCACCAGCCATAGAGGCCATTTGGAGAGTAAACCAATGGAAGACCTTTCTCTCTCTCTTACTGTCTATAACTATACCTGTAAAAAAAATAATAAATACTGTGCATTCTTCCATGTTTGAAAAGAAGAAGTTCACCTCTATTTCTTCCTTTTTTAAGATTTATTTATTTATTTGAAAGGCAATGTTACAGGAAAAGAGAGTGAGGGAGAGACAGAGATCTTCCATCTGCTGGTTTACTCCCCAAATGTTCTCAACATTTGGTCAGGAGCTTCTTCCAGGTCTCCCACATAGGTATAGAGGCCCAAACACTTGGGCCATCTTCCACTGCTTTCTCAGGCACATTAGCAGGGAGCTGGAACAGAAGTAGACATCCAGGACTTGAACTGGTGCCCATATGGGATGCCTGCACTGCTGGCATCAGTTTTACTCACTACACCACAGTGCAGGTCTCAGTTCACTTCTTTTTTACATGTGTGCTTGAAATTACCTTGCCCTCAGCAGATACATAATCTTTATATATTCACACTGCTAGCTTTTCTAGGTCTTTTGGAAAATTTTTTTTTGGACTGAAATGCTTTTCTTTAGCATCATCATAACTATCACCACCCACAGCAAAACAATATGGGTATATCTGATCCTAGGGTTAATTCAACTGGCAATGTGGTAGATAACACCCAGGGTAATGACCAGAGATTTCTGATTTGACAAAAGGAGCTGGTTTACATGTATACATTTGAAGTCCAATGACTTTCATTTAAACATTTTATTACTAAAACGTTCCTGGTAGTCTTGCAATTGAAAAATTATACCTATTATAACTACACTTGAACTTATTATCATGAATATTAACATTTTGAGAGTATTAGAAGTAGATTAGAGGAAGGTTCTGTGGCACAGCAGATTGAGCCACTGCTCCCAACACCCTGATAAATCAGACAATCAAGGATCATGTCACCTCTACTTCCAATCCAGCCACTGGCTGATACACACCTTGAAAGGCAGCAGATGATGTCTTCAGTACTTGGGTCTCTGCCAATTACATGAGAAACCTGGATGGAGTTATTTGCTCTTGGCCCTTGCTCTTGGTCCACCCTCAACCTTTGCAGGTATTGCTGGGTTTTTCAGATGAAGAGACAGGACACAGGAGCTTCCATTCTAAGAATGCACCACCAGAGAGCTCTCTGCTGGCACTTTTTATTAGAGAGTACCAACAATTCCTCAAGCCAGCAGCCACTTAGGCAAGGTTATACATCAACTCTATGATGGGAAAAGAATCCAGTCTTGTGGTCCCTAATCAAAAACAGAATGGTGGTATAAATCTTCAAAGACAGGTCCATTCAAAAGCTCTCACACTTTTACAAAAAACACCCCAGGTACCAATGAAGGCCCATTAGCCCCCTGCTACCTCCACTGCCACATTGCTTTGGAGGCGGGTTTGCCTTTCCCTGGCCTGTTTTGGCAGGAGATAGAAACTGCAGCCTTGCCTCTAATTCCAGAGAAGTTTGCTGCCTGAGAGACACTTAGGCAGCTTTCTCTACAGCAGATGGAAGATCTTTCTCCCTCCCTTTTTCTTTCTCTCTCTCTCACCACTCTACCTTTTCAATAATTCAAAGAAATGTCCACTTTTATGGTCTGATTAGTACCATCCTGATATCAGAATTTGGCCCTCTAAAATATATATTATCGAAATTTGGGGTGCCATACGATATCACCATATGCTTATTAATAAGTTCCCCACATTAATAAGCCCATGTGGGTTCTTGCCTAACATTCAGAGAACAATTCTGAATACCAGCATAAATGAACGAGGCAACATGGTACATTTTAAGCTTTTATTCAGTGTGATAGATGCATAGGATTGTGACGGCCTGTCTAAAAAAGAGGTAAATCTGGGTTCATACTGAGTACCAGGAAACAGCCACGTGGAGGAGCATCCAGACCAGGAAGCATAGGGCGAGTTGGCACAGGGCTACAGCCAGCCCCCTACTAACAAGAGGCCAGGGCCAGGAAAAGGGAGGAAAGGGCCTGACACACCTTGTCCCAAGCTTTTAATAAACTTTCAAAGGGCAGTGGTTAATTAATCTGATTGGCAGATGGGCACTCAGGTGTGGCCAGGTAGGGTCATGAGATCACACACAGGGGTGTGGTGAAGGCATGGTCTTCCCTCACAAACCTAATCAATTTTAACCTGTATGCCTGTCTACTTCAATCCCAAGCTTGTTATTAGCACTGAAAGTGATCCTTGATGGGACTGAATTGGAATCCCCTGGCATGATTCTAACTCTACGATTAGGGGTAAGTCCAATTGAGCAGATGCCAAACTGTACATCTCCTCCCTCTCTTATTCCCACTCTTATATTTAACAGGGATCACTTTTCAGTTAAATTTAAACACCTAAGAATAATTGTGTGTTAATTAAAGAACTCAACCAATGGTATTAAGTAGAACAAAAAAATACTAAAAGGAATAAAATAGTAAGTTGTTCCTCGACAGTCAGGACAAGGGCTGATCAAGTCATTGTTTCTCATAGAATCCATTTCACTTCAACAGGTTTCCTTTTTGATGCTCAGTTGTCACCAATCAGGGAGGACATATGATATTTGTCCCTTTGGGACTGACTTATTTCACTCAGCATGATGTTTTCCAGATTCCTCCATTTTGTTGCAAATGACTGGATTTCATTGTTTTTTTACTGCTGTATAGTATTCTATAGAGTACATATCCCATAATTTCTTTATCCAGTCTTCTGTTGATAGGCATTTAGGTTGATTCCATATCTTAACTATTGTGAGCTGCGCTGCAATAAATATTGAGGTGCAGACAACTCTTTTATTTGCCAATTTAATTTCCTTTGGGTAAATTCCAAGGAGTGAGATGGCTGGGTTGTATGTTAGGGTTGTATTCAGGTTTCTGAGGAATCTCAAAACTGACTTCCATAGTGGCTTTACCAGTTTGCATTCCCACCAACAGTGGGTTAGTGTCCCTTTTTCCCCACATCCTCGCCAGCATCTGTTGTTGGTAGATTTCTGTATTTGAGCCATTCTCACTGGGGTGAGTTAAGACCTCATTGTGGTTTTGACTTGTATTTCCCTGATGGCTAGTGATCCTGAACATTTTTTCATGTGTCTGTTGGCCATTTGAATTTCCTCTTTTGAAAAATGTCTATTGAGGTCCTTGGCCCATCTCCTAAGTGGGTTGTTTGTTTTGTTGTTGTGGAGTTTTTTGATCTCTTTGTAGATTCTGGTTATTGATCCTTTATCTGTTGTATAGTTTGCAAATATTTTTCCCATTCTGTCAGTTGCCTTTTCACTTTCCTGACTGTTTCTTTTGCAGTACAGAAAATTATCAGTTGGACTTACCCTTAATGGTAGAGTTAGAAACATGCAAGGGGATTCCAATACAATTCCATCAAGGTGGCATATACCAATGCAATCTCACTAGTCAAAGTGATCAGTTTCAGTTCATAATTGATCATAATGATAGGATTAAGTGTCAAAGGGATCACATAAACAAGACTAGTGTCTGCTAATACTAACTGATAGAATTAAAAAGCAGGATACACATCAGACCCATAGAATGGCAGATGTCCTAAACAGCACTCTGGCCTCAGATTCAGCCCTTAAGGCATTCGGATCTGGCTAAAAAACACATGAGAGTTTCACAGGCATGGAAAGCCAAGACACTGTGGCAGAAAAAAAGGAAAGGAAAGGAAAGGAAAGGAAAGGAAAGGAAAGGAAAGGAAAGGAAAGGAAAGGAAAGGAAAGGAAGAAAGAAAGAAAAATGACCTAAATGAAAGATCTCTGTGAGTGAGATCCCAGTGGAAAGAACGGACCAATAAAGAAGGAGGTACCTTTCTCTGAACGGAGGAGAGAACTTCCACTTTGACTTTGGCCTTGTCTAAATAAGATCGGAGTTGGCAAACTCAAAAGGCTTCCATGGCCTTGGCAGCTCATGACAAGAGCCTCAGGTGACTACTGACGCCATAAACAAGACTGTCAATTGTGAAATCAACAACAGGAGTCACTGTGCACTTACTCCTTATGTAGGATCCCTGTCTTTAATGTGTTGTACTATGTGAATTAACGGTACAACTAGTACTCCAACAGTACTTTATACTTTGTGTTTCTATATGGGTGCAAACTGCTGAAATCTTTACTTAGTATATACTAAGTTGATCTTCTGTATATAAAGATAATTGAAAATGAATCTTAATGAAGAATGGGATGGGAGAGGGAGTGGGAGATGGGATGGGTGCGGGTGGGAGGGAGGTTATGGGGGGAAAAGCCGCTATAATCCAAAAGTTGTACTTTGGAAATTTATATTTATTAAATAAAATTTTCAAAAAAGGAAAATGATCCTTCTCTTCCTTGTCATTACAAGACAGCAACCCGTGTCACTGCTTCCACCTTTCCAATTACACTAAAAAGAGAAAGCTGTTTCTTTGTACATATAATTCATCTAAAAATGTATATACACAGGAAGTCTTAGCTTTGTACAGCAGCACAGGAGCACTAAATTGGCCCCACTACTGAAACAATGCAAAGGGATCTTAAACGCCATTGGAGGAAAATTACAATTGCTTGTGAGCCTTACAAAATTTTGCCAAAATATTAAAAATTCTGCTAAATGCATAATAAAATGAAAAATACTAAACTTAATTTATTCAGTAGATTATAATTTAAACAGTACAGATATTTAGAATCAGGTATTTTTTCCTTATTAAAAATAGTGTTTATATTTCTTCCCTATTGCAAAACTTATACATTTCTATGGCTTGACAAACTGTCTTAAGTCCTGAGTCCGGATTCACTATATATATATTATATCATTTGTGCTTTCCATTTTATGAAGTATTTCCAAGAGACCTTTTAATGTGAATTTGTTTGCCAGTATCACTTCCTCAGGCTTATCATCCTTTTTATCTCTCTTCAATTACAGAAGTAAATTTGCCTATGACCGTACATCCACTTTCTAGAACAGCAGTATCTCAACATTCCCATATGAGTGATTTTTTTCTGCAACTCCAGTTGCACTCAATTCAAATTTTACTTCCAAATTTATAATTCCTTGAGATTTTGATGCACATTCATTTCTGTTGGTTAATTCTCTTCAAAACATCTGAATTGGGACCAGCACTACAGCATAACAAGTTAAGCTTCAGCTGTGATACCAGCATGCGATCAAAGTGTCAGTTTGAGTCCCAGCTACTCCACTTCTGATTCTGCTTCCTCCTAATGTTCCTGAGAAAGTATCAGATGCTGGTCCAAGTACTTGGTCCCCTGATACCCATGTGGAAAACCAAGATGGAGTCCCTGGCTCCTGGTTTCAGAATGACCCACACCTGGCTATTGTGTCCATTTGGGGAGTGAGACAGTTGATGGAAGCTCCTCATTCATATTCATTCTCTCTCAGCTGTTTCTCCTTCTGTCCCCTCTTTCTCCCTCTCTGTTGCTCTATTTTTCAATAAATGTATCTTTTAAAATATGTGTTTATTTCTGTTGACAAGCAGTTAACACATCTACACATTTTATTGCCATGAATGAATAGCACAGGCACCATGACCAATCACATGCAGACTTTGAAGAAATTAGGGACCAGCATTGTGGCACAGTGGGTAAAACAATCACCAGTATCCAATGTGAGTGCTGATTTGAGTTCCAGCTGCTCCACTTCTGATCCATGTTAATGTGCCTGGGAAAGCAACAGAAGATGGCCCAAGTATTTGGGCCTCTACACCCACATGAAAGACATGAAGGATGCTCCTAGATCCTATCGTCCTTCTGGCCCAGCCCTGGCTGTTGCAGCCATTTAGAGTGAACTAGCAGATGAAAGAGCTCTCTCTCTCTCTCTCTCTCTCTCTATCTCTTGTGGTCTTTCTGTAACTGTGCCTTTCAAATAAATAAAATAAATATTAAAAAAATAATGGTTGGTCACTAATTATGATACATCTGTTAGTTATGCAGTGATTCATGGGCTGCAGAGCTACCTATGTTGTAAAACTACTCACAGTTAATGCTATTGGTAGCTGCTAGGTATATAATGCTGGGGTAGGTATTTGGCCCAGCAGTTAAGAGACCAGGTCTCGTATCAGAGAGCCTGGGTTCAACAGGTTCTTGACTTAAGATTCCTGGTAATGCAATCCTTGTGAGGCAGTGGTGATCACTCAAGCAACTGATTTCCTTCCATGAATGTGGGAAACCTGGATTGAATTTATAGCTCACAGCTTTAGCTGTAAGCCACGCAGCCATCACAGGTATTTGGGGAGTAAACTAGTGAATGCGGGAGACATCTGTCTCTCTGTCTCTGTCTCCCTGTCTCTGTCTCATCTCTCTAATGGCCTTATTGCTCAAGTCAAAAATAATCAATTTTTTTTTTGCTTTGGAAGGTTTTTCTCTTTTTTAATTAGTTATACAAGTTTCACATATTTCATATATAAAGATTTAGGAATATAGTGATAATTCCCTCCCACCCATGCTCCAACCCTTCTTCCTCCTCCCTCTAATTTTTACAAACATTGCTTCTTGGCCTTTTGGCTAAGATCAAGTGTAGTATCTGTTCTTACCAGTTTAACAAACCTCTATTTTTAGTTTACTTAATGATCATAAGGTTAACCCTACACTAAGTGAAAAGTTCAAAAGAGAGTATAAAGAATAAAAACACCGTTCCTCAGCAGAAGAGACAAGGGCTGTACAATCAATTTTTAGAAATGAGGTTTTGAAAAATTTCTGTGATTTAACTACATTGTGATAGCTGAAAACCATACATATTGAAACTGTGCAAAGCCAACACCTTTCTGTACCCTGTTTGTGGAACTGAGTTCCTATCTTTCAATAGATGGAAGTGAATTTTTTTAAGATTTTTTTATTTATTTATTTGAGAGGCAGAATTACAGACAGTGAGGGGAAGAGACAGAGAGAAAGGTCTTCCTTTCTGTTGGTTCACCCCCCAAATAGCCGCTACAGCTGGAGCTACGCCGATCCGAAGCCAGGAGCCAGGAGCTTCTTCTGGGTCTCCCACATGGGTGCAGGGGCCCAAAGACACTCTCTCTCTCTCTCTCTCTCTCTCTCTCTCTCTGCGTCTTTTTTGCTCTCTGTGTGACTCTTTCAAATAAATGAATAAATCTTTAAAAATAAAAAAAAGCCACTTAGTATAACTAACTTACTCTTGGACTTAAACAGTGAACTTTTTTTTTTAAGGTCTTCCTTCCGTTGGTTCACCCCCCAAATGGCCACTACGACCGAGCTGGGCCCATCTGAAGCCAGGAGACAGGTGCTTCCTCCTGGTCTCCCATGCGGGTGCAGGGTCCACACACTTGGGCCCTCCTCCACTGCTTTTCCAGGCCACAACAGAGAGCTGGACTGGAAGAGGAGCAACCAGGACTAAAATCAGTGCCCATATGGGATGTCGGCACCACAGGCGGAGGATTAACCTACTGCACCACAGAGCCAGCCCCAATGGTGAACTGTTAATCTGTGTTATTCTTTATGCAAATTCTCAATATGTTCTATACAATTCAAAGTCTCTGAGAGGCAGAGAAGAGGGCAGATGAATAAAACTCTGGCTATAAATTCTCTACAGAGACAGTGATTTCAACAGCTATTCACAAACCAAGTCACCTTCACAAGAGCTAGGGAAGTCAGGTGAGAGACTAGAGTTTGGTTTTAGCATAATAATATGACAGAATGAGCACTTGGCCTAGCAGTTAACTGCTGCATCCATATGGGAGCAACAGGGTCAGAGTCTGGGCTGTACTCCTGATTCCAGATTCCGCCCAAGGTTCACCCTTAGAGCAAGCAGGTGTTGGGCCAAGTAGTTGTGTTCCTGTCACCCATATTACAGGCCTGTATTGAATTCCTTACTCCTGGCTTTAGCCTGGCACAGCCTTTGCTGTTGCAGGCATTTGGAGAGTGGACCAGAACACTGAAGCTCCCCTCCCTCTGTCTATCCATGTGCATGTGTGCCTGTGCATGTGCATGCACAAACATGCATGTGCCTTGGAACCTCACATAAAAATTTTTAAAAATATTTAAAAGAAACATTGGAGAAAGCAGGTAGGACAGAGTTCCCTACATCACTCTTTACCTATCCTGAAGCTTCTAGCTTAGGATGCAAAAGGAATTGAGTGTAGATCCAAGACTGGAAAACCAGCATCAGCACTGCCATGAAAAAAAAACCAGACCCAGATGGGTCCCTCAGCCACTGCACTTATGCCATTGTCTGAAGACTGAGTCAATGGATCCTCCTAGCCAAACAGCTAAGGAACTGCTCCACTATCTCTCACTGAACTTCTAACAGGCAGCAGACAACACACCAGCAGCTGGGAAGTAGGGCAGGAAAGGGAACTTAGTTCTTTGTCTTGGAGTTCAGAGCTAGACTTACTTCTATGAGACCCATCACCTGATACAACCCAAAGGCCACTACTCCGGCCAGGACTCACAGATGCAGCCTGTTCACTTTCCGTGACATCATGGCAAGTGTCCTGCTTTCCGGTATGACACACTGATTTCAGATTGTATCACTGCCAGCTTCCTATGGGCCAGGCATGCAACTCTGCAAGACTGCACATGGCTGGGGCCGGTGTTGTGGCGTAGCGGTAGAGCTGCCGCGTGCTGTGCCAGCATCCCATGTGGGCACCGGTTCGAGTCCCAGCTGTTCCACTTCCAATCCAGCTCTCTGCTACAGCCTGGGAAAGCAGTGGAAGATGGCCCAAGTCCTTGCGTCCCTGCACCCACGGGGGAAGCCTGGAGGAGAAGGCTCCTGGCTCCTGGCTTCAAATCTGTGCAGCTCTGGCTGTTGGGGCCATCTGGGGAGTGAACCAGTGGATGGAAGACCTCTCTCTCTCTCTCTCTGCCTCTCCTTCTCTGTGTAACTCTTTCAAAATAAATACATCTTAAAAAAAAAAAAAAAAAGACTGCACAGGGCCTAATGACAAAGAAACCCAAGTGTGAAGTAGCTAAGTGCCAGTCTGGATGGCCAAGAGGCTGCCTTTATTAGTTCCTATCCCAACCATGGGCAGACAGCAAAAGTTCACTGGATAATGTCTTGGGATATAGTACCAGGCTGGTAAAACCCCACATTATTGGGAGTTAACAAGGAACCTGACAATGCCAAACAGATAGGAACAACAACTACGAAAAAAGACATAGAAACAGAAATCTTCTCAAGCCTAGAGAAAGATATAACAATCTAAGTACTGGAAGGTCAGAGGTCACTCGTAAGACTCAACTCAATCAAGTCTACCCCAAAGACTCCCCAAAGACATTCTTTTTTTTTTTTTTTTTTTTTTTTTGACAGGCAGAGTGGACAGTGAGAGACAGAGACAGAAAGAAAGGTCTTCCTTTGCCGTTGGTTCACCCTCCAATGGCCGCCGCAGCCGGCCGCGGCGCCAGCTCTCCCAAAGACATTCTAATCAATGCCTTCAAGGCTAAAAATACAGGAGTCTGAAAGCTGCAAGACAAAAAAAGGAGCAAATAACACACACAGGTGTCATAATTTGCCTGAATCCGCACCTACCAGCAACAATCTTACAAGCCAGGAGGGAATGCAAGAGTTTCATCATACTGAAGGAAAAAACCTGTCAGTCAAGAATATGAAGCTATCTTTTAGATATAAAGAAAAGATAAAGACATTCTCACACAATAAAAGCTGAAGCAATTTATCAAAATATTTGTCTTACAAATGTTCAAGGGAGCACTTTAAATTGAAGGAGAGGTATGTTAATGAGTAAAAAAAATATGATGATGTTAGGGGACAGAGAATGACCCCCTCAATTTAAAAGAAAGTGAACATTCAGATCAGTTTTTTATTTATTTTTTATTTGTTTATTTGACAGAGTTAGACACTGAGAGAGAGAGATAGAGAGAGAGGTCTTCCTTCCATTGGTTCACTCCCCAAATTGCCGCTATGGCCGGAGCTACACCAATCTGAAGCCAGGAGCCAGGTGCTTTTCCTGGTCTCCCATGGGGGTGCAGGACCCAAGCACTTGGGCCATCCTCCACTGCCCTCCCGGGCCACAGCAGAGAGCTGGACTGGAAGGGGAACAACCGGGACTAGAACCCGGCGCTCATATGGGATGCCGGTGCCGTAGGCAGAGGATTAACCAAGTGAACCACAGTGCTGGCCCCCAGATCAGTTCTTTTTTTCTGATCCCTGTTTTACAAGAACTCTTCACACCTGGCCATCTTGGAGATCATCAGAACATAGAATCTTGGTTTACCTGTACCTCAAGCCTGAGAACATATGCTGGGGTTGGTGCAGAGCTTCCTGCCTGGCTGGCACATGGAACCACAAGATCTGCAATTAGCAATCTCAGAATATATAAATATATCCTACAAGTCCTTTCACTGCTGTGGCTTCTGAGGCATAGCCCTTTCTTCCTCTGTGAAGTAAAACTTTGCCAGTACATGACTGTTAAACCAGTTTTAGTTGTCAGCTAGTGGCCAGCTAAATTTTTTTTTAACTTTTATTTAATGAATATAAATTTCCAAAGTACGGCTTATGGATTACAATGGCTTCCCCCCAATAACGTCCCTCCCACCCGCAACTCTCCCCTTTCCCACTCCTTCTCCCCTTCCATTCACATCAAGATTCATTTTCGATTCTCTTTATATACAGAAGATCAGTTTAGCATACATTAAGTAAAGATTTCAACAGTTTGCTCCCACACAGAAACATAAAGTGAAAAATAATAGATGATTTTTTAAATGATGATAAAATCAGATCAGACCTATTGTCATGTTTAATCTACTACTCCCAGTGAGAGTCAAGTTGGGAATTGATAATTTCTTCTTTTTTTTTTTTTTTTTACAGAAGATCAGTTTAGTATACATTAAGTAAAGATTTCAACAGTTTGCACCCACATAGAAACACAAAGTGAAATATACTGTTTGAGTACTCATTATAGCATTAAGTCTCAATGTACAGCACATTAAGGACAGAGATCCTACATGAGGAGTAAGTGCACAGTGACTCCTGTTGTTGACTTTACAAATTGACACTCCTGTCTATGGCATCAGTAATCTCCCTATGCACCAGTCATGAGTTTCCAAGACTATGGAAGCTCCTTGAGTTCTCCGACTCTTATCTTGTTTAGACAAGGTCATAGTCAAAGTGGAGGTTCTCTCCTCCCTTCAGAGAAAGGTACCTCCTTCTTTGAAGACCTGTTCTATAGTGGCCAGCTAAATACCTGTCAAGGAGGTAGAAAACTCACTGGTAAGAGTTCTGCATATTTAGAATACTCTAACACTGTAAATATTGTACCTTTCAAAACCATCATGTCTTTGGTATCAAGATGAAATAACAAAACAAAGATAAGAACTAGAGGGCAGGCATTTGGACTAGCAGTTACATCACTGCTTGGAATGCCCTCATCCCAAATCAGGGTGCCTGAGTTGGAATCCTGGCTCTGCTCCCAATTCCAGCACCCTGGGAGGCAGGAGGTGATGACTGAAGCAGTTGGGTCTCAGGAACTCACTTGAAAGACCTGAACTGAGCCCCCAATTTCCAGTTTAGGCCTGGCCCAGACATGGATGCTGCGAGCATTTGAGGAGTAAACCAGCAGATGGGAGCATTCTCTTCTCTCTCTCCTCTGTCTCCTCACCAAGCCAACATTAATAGACCTAAAGAGAGAGACAGACTCCAACACAATAATGGTAGGAAACTTGAGCACCTCAGTTTCAGAAATGGACAAATCATCCAGATAGAAAGTCAACAAATAAACAGCAGAGTTAAACTGCACCTGAGATCGCCTGTAGCTAAAGAAAGGTTCTATCTAACAGCTACAGAATACACATACTTCTCAACAGTACATGGAACATTTCCCAGAATGGATCGTATACTAACTGATCACAAAACAAGTGGAAGAAAGGAAGGAAGGAAGGGAGGGAGGGGAAGAAAAGACTAGCTCAAAACTACTTTCTTCCTGAATTGGAACCCGAACACTAGTTTTGTATCCTTAACCATCACACTGTGTGACGGGGAATCACATGGTGACTCAACACTCACCTAAATATGCCAAATACTTGAATCATCTTACCTGAATCTTCCAAGATTGACATGAATAGAAAGACCCAACCCATGGCACTCTGCGCCTTGGCCACAGGCAGCAGCTGCATTCTCTCCACTCCACTGGGAGGCTGCTTCCATCACACATGCCAGAACCAAGATGCTCGCTCATCTGCTGGCCGTTACATCTGGCCTCATACAATGTGTGTCTGATCTCCCTCAAGGAAACCCAGTTGATCAGAAGGGCTCAGGGGAAGAGTTACTTCATCAGCTCCATCCCATTCTAAGAAGAAAAAGTTCGAGCCTCAAAATAAGGCTGGTATTTACTAAACTGACTTCAGGAGGCACATCGTGTCCTCCACGCCAGTCCCCAAATTAGGTCCAATAGTGTCAAATCAATTAAGATGATTTCAAAGCATTATGTGTTGGAATCAACTCTGGTACTTAGGACCCCTGGTTCCCTAATCCTTAGCAAAGAGACACACTGAGAATTATATTTTTCTCCTTTAACTTTTTTTCCCCAAAAACCTTTTAGTCGATGAATACGAACTTCGTGCACTTTATAAATACAGCTTTAGGAATATAATGATTCTTCTCACTGTACCCGCCCTCCAACCCACACTTCCATCCTCTCTCCTCCATCTCCTATTTCCATTCCTATTTTTTATATCTTATTTTGATAGGCAAAGACAGAGACCAACAGCCAGGCAGTGAGGCGCCATCTATTGGTTCGCTCCCCAAGGCCGCCGGCTCTTGGGCCTGCGTGTCCGGCAGTCCATCGGATTCCCTGCACCCTCCAAAGGCGCCAAAGCGCTCGCAGCCCCTCCGCGGCCCACAGGCCTCGCCAGTCCCGCCAGGAACCGGGCTACCAAACGGATCGCGGCCGAGAAACGACCACGACCCGCCTCCCCTCGCTGTGTAACCGCCGCCGTCCAGCGTGAACTCACGCGGGAGAGCTGGCGCCCCTCTCGGTCCCTTCCCACCTCCGCGGCCTCGCTGGGCTACTGGAGAGCGTGGAGAGGGCGAGCCGGGCGCGGACCCTGACCACCCATCCGCCCGCTCCAGCCACCCCCCCTTCCCTCACCTGCCAGTGGTCAGCACCGCGCAGCGGCCCGGGGCCTCCCAGCACAAGCAGGGAACTCACCGCGACTTCCCTCATCCCCGGAGCCCAGCCGCCTGTTCAGTCCCGCGGACTTCAAACACCTGCGCGCCCGGCTGTCACAGTGCATCCCATCTACGCTCGCTCCTCGCCCTGACACCCGTTTCGTCGCCCGCTACCTGCCTATTCCCAGCCGGCACTCCATAACCATCCCTGAGGGGACGTTGGTGAAGCCTCAGTGGGCCCACCAGTACGCCTGCTTGAGGGGGCGTGGCCTGGGCGTGAACAACGCGCTAGTGGGCGTGGCCTGGGTGCTTGGAGCATTTGCTTTAGGAAGTGGCCACCCAAAACCACAATGAGGAAGGTATCATTTCATACTCACTTTGATAGCTATATATATAAAAAAAAGATAATGAGAATGGGTGCAGCTACAGGGAAAATGGAACCTTCATGTATTACTGGTGGGATTGTTAGCTGAATTTTTTAACTTCTGTTGTATTTGAATGCAAGAGAGAGATCTTCCATCTCTTGGTTCACTCCCCTAAGACCTCAACAGCCAGGATTGGGCCAGGGGCCCAGAACTCAATCCAGGTCCCCTAAGTCAGTGGCAGGGACCCAAATGCCTGAGCCATCATCTGCTACCTCCCAATTTTTTTTGTGTGTATTAGCAGGAGGAGTACCGGAGCCAAAACTGGTACCAGGCACTCTGATATGGGAGGCAGGTGTCCCAAGCAGTGACTCAACATCATGCTCTGATGCAGCTGCTTCTGAAACACAGAGGTACCATATGACCATGAAATTTCACTTATGTATGTACTCAACAGAAATACAAATTTTTTTGCCAAAAATGGTGCACATGAATTTTTGCTGCAATATTATCTATAACAGTTAAAGGATGAAAACACCCTTGACATCCATAAACTGTATGACATGTTGTGTCTAGGGTGCAATGTTGTGATGTAGCAGCCTACGATGCTAGCATCCCATATGGGTGCCAGTAAATGACTTGGACTGATCCATTTCCTATCCAACTCATTGCTAATGGCCAGGGAAAGCAGTGGACAATGGCCCAAGTACTTGGGTCCCTTCCACACACATGAGAGACCTGGAGGAATCTCCCAGGTCCTGGCATCAGCCTGGCCCAGAAGGTCTGGGTGTGTGTCTCTCTCCCTTCTCTCTGTGTAACTCTAACTTTCAATTAAATAAACAAATCTTTAAAAAGAAAGAAAAATAAATGTGGTGACTTATCCATATCCTGGAATTTTATTCAGCCATAAAAAGGAGTGAGGCTCTGACCAGTGCTATAATGTAGCAGGTAAAAACAATGCCTGTAGGTCTGGCATTCCATATGGGAGCCAGTTTGTAGCTACTCCATTTCCTATCCATCTCCGTGATAATACACCTGGGAAAGCGGTGGAAGATGTCCCAAATCCATGGGGCCCTGCACCCAGGTGGGAGACCTGGAGAAAGCTCCTGGCTCCTGGCTTTGGATCAGCCCCATTCCAGACATTGGGGCCATCTGGGGGAGTAAATTGGCAGATGGACTCTCTCTTTTTCACTCTCTCTCTCTGCCTCTGCCTCTCTATAATTTTGCCTTTTAAATAAATAAATTTTAAAAAAGAGTATTCATACATTTCAGCATGAACCTTGGATATATGGAAATAATACTTTTGTGAAAACTAGTCACAAAAGACCCCATGACTCCACTTACATGAAATGTTAGAATAAGCCAAGATGGAAAGACATAAAGTAGATCAGCGGTTGCTCAGGGTGAGGGAGGGCAGTGAGTTAATGCTAAGAACCACAAAATTTTTTCAGGGGTAATTAAAACATTCTGAAATTGATTCTGAAATTGTAATGTTTTCAAGACTTTGAATATACTTAAAATGACTGAACTGTGCACTTTAAACAGGTAATTTATATGGATTATAAATTATACCTCAAAGTTGCTATGAAAAAATAAAACTCAGATACTGTGTCATCTAAAGTGTTAGCATTTTCAAGTGACAAGCACTTTCAATGCTCTACATTTTTCTAGATGAGCCACCTTCAGGTTTGCTGTGAGGGAATTGGTGTGAACCCCTGATGATATTTTATGGAGCTGACTTTTCTCCAGGATCAAACAAGACTATAACTTTGTTAACTGATCACAGACTCACCTGGCATAGGTAAGGCCCCGAATGTCCCAGCCAACAGCACAGTGTGCTCAGGGTTTCTTCCCAGAGGAGTCTGCTCAGGAATTAGAGTTTGGGTTCTAAGAAGTTATTCAGATTAAAAAAGAACATTTTAATTTTTCTCTTGGTGATGTATTGTGGACTCCTTAAGAGGAATTATGTTAGGGGTTTTTTTGAGTATAGATCTTCTTGCCTTTGTCAATTAGTTTCTTTTTTTTCCAAAATAAAATATTATCAATTCCCCCTTTACCTCCTCTCCTCCTCAGTCATCAAGCAACATCTTATGACTCTTGCATGGGACAATTTGTCTGTCTTGTAATGCAGACTTTTGTTTTGGAGCCAAGACATTCTGATTGTATAGCGTTTGAGGGTCAGTATGTTGGAACAAAGCATCCTTTCTCCATAGTCAGCAAGTATCTGTGAAGTCTGAGTCTCAGTGATGAGAACCTGAGGACCCAACAGCCTGGTGGCACACCAAGCAAGCATGTGCAGGAGGCAGCCATGGAAAGCCCTTCTCGCTTGTCCACAGAATGTTTTTCTCAGCTCAGCCAAGTTAACATCAGCAAGAGATATTTTTGAAGAATCTTGTGGCCTTCAAATTTTAGAACCACTTAGGGGTGATTTCTTCCCCGTGCTAATTCTACTTCATCAGACTTCTGTTCTTTGAACTGTACACTTTGAAATAATTGAGTTTTCTGGGGCATTTAATTTTCTTTGTTAAGTGTTTCTCTTCACTGCAGTAATTTTCTCATCTGTTACATACACACATTTTAAAACAAGGAATTCCTCATTCTCCCAGACTCACTGCTGTATTGTGGCTGCTCTCGGCAGGATTACATAAAATGGAATTAGGTACTCAGCCAATCTTACTGTTAATTGAGGGTGATGTTAAGACTACTGGTTTCATTCGAGCAGGATCCCAGTGCAAGCCTGGTACAGCAACGCAAGAGGCTTACTTTAGACCCAAGGCTGAAACCATGATCCTGAAAAATAAACAACAACAAAACTCTTGGGAGGTTGGTGAGAGAGGAAAGAGGCAATTTCTCCCCATTTCACACATCCACTATGTTCTCTGCTTGCAGCTTTCTCAAATGCTGCCTGTCCTTGATTTCCTTTCTTCTGCTCCTTTTTTTGTTTGTTTCTGAGATTGAAATACAGACTCCTTCTGCTTCCCAGGATATTTTTCTCATTAAATGTGTTGCACACTCCTAAGGAATTATTTTTTAAAAATCCAGAGTGTAACAGATCCTATTGACCCCAGCACCTATCTAATAGTTTTTTTTTTCCCCTCAGTGAATATAAAAATAAAATTCATTTAAGTTCCATAATCTTTGTTAGAGCTCTGCTTGGCTGCCTAGGTCCTGTGTAATGTAAGGACAGAGCCTTTAACGTGGTACTGGGAAGTCTCTTTTTCCAAATGGTTTCTCCAAATCTCCAAATGACAAAGCCAGAGGAAGAAGCATTTTAAAAAAAAGAGTCTTGGCCGGTGCTGTGGCTCACTAGGCTAATCCTCGGCCTGCGGCGCCGGGAGCCTGGGTTCTAGTCCCAGTTGGGGCACTGGATTCTGTCCCGGTTGCTCCTCTTCCAGTCCAGCTCTCTGCTGTGGCCCGGGAAGGCCAGTGGATGATGGCCCAGTTGCTTGGGCCCTGCACCCGCATGGGAGTCCAGGAGAAGCACCTGGCTCCTGGCTTTGGATCGACGCAGCGCACTGGCCACAACACACTGGCCATAGCAGCCACTTGGGGGGTAAACCAACGGAAAAAGGAAGACCTTTGTCTCTCTCTCTCTCTCTCACTGTCTAACTCCGCCTATCAAAAAAAATAAATAAATAATGGAAAAACTTTAAAAAAGGCTCTTAATTCTTTGGATTGTTTGTTTTCCTATAATCAAAATGACCCTAGTATCAAGGTTGAAAAGGGGAAGGATGAGCATACCTTTCACTGTAGATAACTAGGGGTACAGGAGAAAGATGAGTCTCAAAAGCAGGAGTAGGAAGAAAATGTCTTTAGGACAGAAAATATTCTCTAAAAAGTTGGAGTCTCATCAGCTCAGAGACGAAGCCAGAGCTGACTTTCTTGTTGGGATTCTCACCACTCTAGTGCCCATGAGAAGGAGTGGCGGTACCTCTTCTCTTCCTTCTTGACTGTCACTACATTGCTCACCCTTGATTACTTTCTTCCTTATGAATATAGGAGTTCTACAGGCCTCTGCAGGCAGAGATTCACTTGTGTGTGTTAAAAGTCATTCTCAGGGAGCTGGCACTGTGGCATAGCTGGTAAAGCCACCTCCTGCAGTGCCAGCATCCCATGTGGATGCTGGTTCGAGTCCCAGCTGCTCCACTTCCAATTCAGCTCTCTGCTATGGCCTGGGAAGCCCAAGCCCTTGGGCCTCTGCACCCACGTGGGAGACCCAGAAGAAGCTCCTAGCTCCTGGCTTCACATCTGCACAGCTCCGACCATTGTGGCCAATTGGGGAGTAAACCAGAAGATGGAAGACATGTCTCTCTCACTCTGTGTAACTCTGACTTTCAAGTGAAATAAATAAATCTTTTTTTTTTTTTTTTGACAGGCAGAGGGGACATTGAGAGAGAGACAGAGAGAAAGGTCTTCCTTTGCCGTTGGTTCACCCTCCAATGGCTGCTGCGGCCGGCGCACCACGCTGATCTGAAGCCAGGAGTCAGGTGCTTCTCCTGCTCTCCCATGGGGTGCAGGGCCCAAGCACTTGGACCACCCTCCACTGCACTCCCTGGTCACAGCAGAGAGCTGGCCTGGAAGAAGGGCAACCAGGACAGAATCCAGCGCCCCAACCGGGACTAGAACCCAGTGTGCTGGCGCCGCAAGGTGGAGGATTAGCCTATTAAGCCGCAGTGCTGGCCAAATAAATCTTAAAAAAAAAAAAAGTCAATTTCAGACAGCAGCTGCACTTCAGACTTCTCCAGTTCGGGTACCACTGACTACACTAGGTGGGTCCTCTAGGAGAACAGGCTCCTCATCTTTGGGAGGCAGCCCACTCAAGTCAAAGATACTGCCCAACTGATCAGCTTTAGAGTTTCCACAGAGGAGAGGCTTTCTATGAAACATTTCTGCATAGATACAGCCAACACATCACATGTTGACAGGTGTTGCATTTGTAAAAGAACTTCAGGAGCATGATACCAGAGTGTAACAGACAGTGGTGCAAGTGCCATCTATAACTGTAGATTGTGGCCAGGCCAAAGTCAAGCAACTTGACTGTTTTGCTGCTTGTCACCTGAATGTTCTCTGGTTTCAGTGAACAATGCAGTTGGCGTGAAGAAAATCCAACCCTATCAGAAACTGGTGCATTGGATCCTTGGTGGCCTCTGCTGTAAGCCTCCAGCCATCTCAATCAAGTCACCTCCAGAACCATGCTGATGGAAATGCCACCTCTAACTTCTCCTCCACTGGGGGTTAACACATTCTTGAGAGCTGCAAGGTGAGCACTAAGGGGGTCACAAGCCTTGTACACTGTCCCATAGGCACCAACAACATTTTCAGCTGTTGGCCCATATCCACAGGTAACCATTCTCAGGTCAGTTTTAACCCCCACCTCCAGCCATGCAAGGCCCTAGAATCAAAAAAAAAACCTTTTCATTTGGAAACATCATAACTAGCACAAAGGAGATCACACATGACACCCACCATGTACTGAAGGTTCTACACTCAAATCCCTAAAAAAAATTCCAACTCACTACATACACAAAAGCCTCATTTGCCATCCCTGGGTAACCATTCTATCTCTTACAACGTCCAAGTTTCATAGTTCTTATAAAAAGCAGATTCAGCTATTTTAATAAATTTATATATAATATCACTAAATACATTCAACTGACCAATATGTAAAGCGCCCAATAGTATTCCCATTTTCTCAATTAAATATTTGTGTCTCTAAGGAAAATTATTTTCTTACCATAGCCTTGGCCTGTGACGTGGGATTTGATGTTTATATTTGTTTGCTAATTTGAATGAGAATTTGGTTTCTAAAGTTCTTCTGTAATTGAATTTCTCTAGTAGGTATATTTTGAGATTATTGATTTTCATGTATTTGGTTACCTAATTTTTTACTAAAATACACAGGTGTCCTCTCAACTGATTGTAATCAAAGCCAGGGCAGTGGTAATTTCAAGGCATAAGTAGGAGAGGATCCACTTCCAAGCTCACTCATGTGGCTATTGGCAGAATTTAGTTACCCATGGGCTGTTGTATTCCCTCACTGCCCTGCCACATGGTTTTCTCCATTTAGTAGCTATCCACATGACAGATGGCTTCTATCAACATGAACAAACAACACAGAAGAAAGAAGAGTGTCAAAAGAAATGTCAACACAAAGAAGAGTGTCAAAAACAAAGGATCTTTTTTTTAAAGATATTTTTATTTTTTGGAAAATCAGAGTTCTAGAGAAAGGGAGAAATAGAGGAGGAGAGAGATCTTCCATCCACAGTTTCATTCTCCAACTGGCTCACAACTCATAATGGCTGGGTCTGAGCCAGGCTAAAGCTAAGACTCTGGAGCTCCTTCCATGTCTCCAAAGTGGATGGCAGGGTCCCAAGTACTTCAGCCACCATCCACTGATTTCCCAAGGCACATTAGCAGGAAATTGGATCAGAACTGAAGTTGCCAAGACATGAAAGAAAGAGCCTTTTCAACCTTAATGAATTCCCTTTTCAACCTTAACTCAGAATTCATGAGGGTTCTTCCTTTACGACTTAATCACTTCCAATGCCCCCCAACATCTAATGTCATCACATTGTTGTAATTCTTTAAATAGGGCATGCTATTTTCAGCCTCTGGGCCATTGTATTTAGTTCTCTCTGTCTATAATGCTCATTCTTTTCTCAATCAACTTTCCACTTAAGTGGCAGCACTTAAAGATGAGTTCCCTGATCATCTATCTGAATTGTTAGTCTAAACCTTTCAAGTTAGCCTAAATCCTTCTCTTAATATCATTACCTTCTCAGTTATCTTGTAAGGTTTTGCATAGTACAAGGGACAGTCTTGCACTAATCTGCCTCAGCTTTTCTTTTCCAAATGAAAGTTACATATGTCATCAAGAAGCTGAGTTTTGTTCCTCTTCAAGTCCGAAGTTCTTGGCAGAATGTAATACTATTGCTATAAACTAGAAAAATGGGCAATTCTATTGCTAAAACAAAATATTCATTGTTAGAAAATTTTTGTGAAGATTATGAAGAGTGGAAAATTATTTTACCAGTGAAAAATTTCACTACATGGAGTCAAACTACATGGCAAAGATTTTATCCCAGACTATTGCAATAGGAAAGAGAAATTGACCTCAACACTACTAAGGAAAAAGATGGGAGGGTTTTTGAACACTGCAGTAAGGTAATGGGAAATTACTGGAATGTGTTAGAGGGGATGCTGACCAATGTGGTTGGACTCTAGTTATTTGTTTATTGCCACTCATCGATGTTAGGCTCTTAGCTATCCAAAGAAGCTGGACCAAGAGGATGCTCTTTTTACTTAAAAGATTTACCTTTCTTTAATTGTAGGGCAGGGGTCCAAGTACTTGCCGAGTGCCCAGGCAAATTAGTAGGGCCCGAATCAGAAAGAAAGAAGCCAGGACTCAAACCAGGGATCTATTAAGGGACTCTGCACTGTCCCATTGCTATGGATCTTTATTTTAATATTTATTTAGTTATTTGAAACACTTACACAGAGAGAAGGAAAGACCCTCAGAGAATGCACTTCCATCTGTTGATTTCACTCTGCATATGACTCCAATGGCCAGGGCTGGACCAGTCCAAAGCCAGGAGTCAGGAGCTTCTGTCAAAGTCTCCCATGTAGGTGGCAGGGACCCAAGTACTTGGGAGATCTTCTATTGATTTTCTTAGCCCATTAGTAGGGAGCTAGATTGGAAGTGGAGCAGCCAGGACATTAACTAGCACCCATAAGGGATGCCAGCATAGCAGGCAGTGGCTTTACTCACTATGCCATGATGCCAGCACCCTTTCTTTATTGATAATTACATTTCAAAGAGATAGCTCCCAAATCCTTGAGAAAGACATTCCTGGGTTAAGACTTATCTACATCTCCCAGGGCCAAGAAATCATTTGAAATTACTGGTATTCTAAAGTAAATGGAAAATAAAAGCCCAATAAAACTTTAGTAGATCTTGGGTGGATGTGTTGCTAGTATTTAAGATGCCTGTTAAGAAGTTTGCATCCCATCAGATTGTGGGGACTCCCAACTTCCAGCAATGTGGGCCCTGGGAGGCAATGGTGATAGGTCATGTGC